TGGCTTGAATCATTAAATGGAGAGTTACATCCTCGAAAAATAAATGGAATCTACCTTAAGCCTTACTATCCTATGATATGGGAGGCTAGAGGTTTGGATACCATTGATTCTACCTGAGACAGATTTGAGGTAAGATTTGTATAGTATTTTATTTCATTGTTTTAAGCATTTTATCATTCAATAAAAGTGCTGAGCCGAATCTGTAAGTAGGCTAGATCTGGCTGTGAACAACCACAGTGGCCAGATTTCGACCACGATAGATTTCAACATGTACCAGAGTATGAACAGAAAGTACAACAGGCAGATTTCCAGAATATGAGTCAAGAAAGAGAACAACATTGAAAAAGAAGTTTGCATGGCCAATAGGCCGCAAACAATAAGTTCAAACATGACAATGTGCAATTACAACCAACAAAGAGACAAGGAGATACATAGAAGAAAAATCAACAAAGGTTGTTTTGCCATGAACTCCATTCTTCTCTCATGTTCTTGATCTCTTCAGCGGCTTCATCTGCAGAGGCTGTGAAAGAAGGTAGCTGCTCCTTGATCTTGGCAGTAGATTTCAAACCAGCTTCCATGTCCACGCGGAGCTTGTTTCTTTGTTCTGCCAAACTCTTCTCGGTTTGCTCTGCAATAGGAACTTGGTTTCTCAATTCTGAAAGCTTGGCTTCAAGGTTGGAGATTTCTTCTTTAAGACCTTGGAGGTGTTTGACTTGTGTGACATGAGCCTCCTTTGCTGCCAAGAATTCTTCCTTCTTCTAGAAGACAGCGGCAGTGCTGTCCGCTACAGACTTCCTGACAGAATCTGCAGCCGCTACTTTGCTTTCAAGCACCCGGAATTTTCTGCTGAAATGGGTGTAGATGATGGTGAAGTCTGCCCAGAATTTTTGTTGAGTTGATAATTGTGGGGCTCGGCTAAGGATTTGAGCCGCTTCAAAGGCGGCTGGCTGGTCCGGCACCTTGCAGAAATGGGAAGGACGCCACCAAGGAGCTCTTGCATGGTCATAATCGCAAAACTAATCTGCTCCTGAGTAGGAAGGTTGATATCAAAATCCACTTCTTCAGCAACTGCCTTCCCTTTACTATCTGTGGCAGATCCAGATTTAGCCGGAGGATCCATCAACATGTCCAGTTGGGCAAGGAGTTCATTCTCCAAATCATCATCAATCATGGGCACATCAGCAGCAACACTCTATAAAATGTGAAGACAAAAGATCAAAAATGGCAACTAGCAGATATGGTGACAGATTTCAAGATCTAAGCAAATTTCAGAATAGTGAAACAACCTCAATGTCATCAACATGAACATGCCTAACAGGAGAGGCTACGGGTGTAGGGGTATTCTCTTTGTCTGGGCTTCGATCGATAAGTTCATTCAGTCTAACTATTTTAAAGCTTTTGTTAGCTATGCGCAAAGAGAATCTAGAACCCCTAACCTTTGTGGCTGGAGAAGAACTGTTGCCAGATTTCATAGGGATGGTGGCAAAATCACCTTCATCACTTGCAGTAATTTTTTCTTTAACTTGGTCTGGCTTGGGAGCAACATCTTCTGTTTTGTTAGGAGGAATCTGGGTTTCCGTGGCAGAAGTGGATTCTGATGGGGAGGCAGATTTGATGGGCTTCTTGGCAGCTGTAGGTTTCACTGCTGACCTCTTGATCCCTAAAAAAAAAAAAAAAAAAAAAGGGGGTTAGCAGAGAGTATTTCACCAAGTTGCAAGCTAAAGCAGATTTACCTCTAGTTTTTGCTGCTTGGAGAGGGTATACTTCTTTGAAAAATCGGCTGAAATGGTAACCTTCCTCTTGGTTTGAATTCTGGTAGTCCAGATCACCACTTTCCTCTGCAACACCCTTTTCTTCAGATTTCCTAGTGAACTCCAGATCTGGCCAAAGGCGGGTTCAAGACGATTCACCCAATCAACCCATTGCTATCTCCTCCAAGCCGGCCAAGTCCCAAAATGCCCAACCCACTTGCTCCAATCCGGTTTCACTTGGAAAGGGAGGAGGTGTTCTTTCGACTGTGGGTAAAGGAATTTGAGTGAAAGGGGTGGAGGAGAAATGAAATATGGACCCAAAATTTGAGAGTTCATGTGGAGAACAAACATTTGATCTGAATGGCTTGTTTTATGGTGTTGAAGAACTTGTTTGATTTCATTTTGGAGGTCTTTGGTTTGGAAAAGGCTCACTAGATTTGAAGGAGGCGGCTTCTTAGGATCAAAAGACTTGGTTCCAGCCATGACAGCAACAGATTCGGTATGTGAAGGCTGTTCTTGTGGGTTGTTGGCCATGAATGGAGCAGATCTGGGTGAAAAAGCAAAGGGGAAGAAAGCCGGTAGTGACCGTAGGAAAAAGAAGAAAATATAAAGGAGGTTTTGACTTTTGATTTTCAAAAAGCCCTCATTTTTAGGGATTTTTTGGAAGTTTAAAAGTTAAAAGAAATGTAAAAATGGAGAAAGCTGGTCGGTGATTAAAAAAAAAAATAAAGAGAAGCAGCCGGCGGTAAGCAAGGCAAAGAGGAAGAGGAAAAGCCGGTGGTGAGGCAATGATGCAGTGATGAGGTACTGGGGAAGAAGAAAGGTAAAAGTAAATTAGCTTTTCCTTTCTATTTGCAAATAATAAAAAGAAGGAAGGAAAAAGAGGCAACCGACAATGACCAAAGGAAAAGGAAAAGATTAAAGTAAGTTTGACTTTTCCTTATCTTTTTGGATTTGAAAATTAAATGCATTTTGAAAAGGAGTGGCTGTGGTTTATCTAGAAAATTGCTCCAAGGAGATATTTTTGGAGTTGCTTTTAAAGGGAATTTGACATGTGGTATAAGTAATTATGGTGTGAGAGACAATTTATTTAATTAAAACACTTGGATTTATCTTTATAAAACCAAGGGATGGGAGGCATTGTTTACACCATAAATTACAAAATTTTAAATTAATGTAACGTGTAAAATTTTTATTGGCTAGAGGAGTTTGAGCCATGTCAGATTCGGATTCTGGGTCCCATGATAGATCAGCACATGTGTTAGCAAGATAGGAGAGGTAAAGATAATGTTTTATGGAGTAATTATCTTCTTGAAACAGAAAGAGATAATGGCAGTTGGAAAATAGGGGAAGATCAGTTAAAAAGGGAATTTTATCTGATAAAGTACAGGTGGCGAAATCTGAAAGGGGATTAGACTAGGTCAAAAGGTGAGGTGTCTCACTACTCCAAAAAATCAGCCATGATTGAGTAACTGCAGGCACAAAAGAAACAAAAAGGAAACTTTGGCAAGAGGAACACACGGCTAGCCCTACTCAAACATCTGCAAATTTTCATACTTGGATTTTCTCTGCACATGCTTTCAGATTTCGGATTTCAGCACAGATTTCGGATTTCAGCACAGATTCCATTAGAATTAGGTTGTTTTTCATCATTCCAGTAGACAAATTAATTCCTATATTCAGTTAAACAATTTCCTTTCATGATATGAACTTCAATCCTTCAAGTTTATGCAAGGTATTGTTTTTTTTTTCATTTGTAATTAATTTAATGTTTATGTTAAGTAGCATTGCTTCAATGATTACTTATGTGGCTTTCATGCTTCTTTCCAATTTCAAGTTCTTCAATTTCTTCACTGTTCACGTTTAATTTTAGTGCTAATTTAGGAATAAATTTCCAGTTCTGCAGCAATTTAATTCCCGAATCTATCAATAGATTGCATTTTAATTTTATCATAAGCATGTTTAATTTAATTTGGGTACATTTCTTTCTCGCAAGTTTATTTTAAATTGCAAATAATTTAGAGTAATTAGGATTTGTTAATTTTAAGTCACGGTAGTGTTTTAAGTCCTTGGAGTTGTCCAAGGCAGATTTCGTAACCCATTCTGTAGGAAGGTATCCCTCCCTCTTGCAAATCGTCTGAAGGTGCAATTTCAATTTTAATCCAACGTTCTTCCCGCCATCTACAAAGAGGTCGACCGTGAGGAAGGAGAGGGTCGTTGGGAAAATCCTCCTTTCTTACTTTCAGCAAAGTAAGTGGCACGCCCACATCCAGATTTCACACGTGCGAGGCCACTAGAAGATTTTTGAGGAAACAGTTAGCAACTGACCCACCCCCTCAAAATCACATGCCAATCATTTTAACACTTGCTAACACACCAGCTCCAATATTCTTCAAAGCACGATTGCGAAAAGCACACCTCGATAACGCTTAGGCTCTAGGTGGTGGTTGGCCACTTTGCCTAGACAGCTAGCTACCTAGGGCTTTTGCAACGTATTTTTTAACAGGATGAGATGTTTTGAGGCTCAATGCATCAACCCAATCCATTTTTGCAATGCCAACCACTGTTATGGTCCAATGACTATAACTTTTTTTTGAGAGGAGTAGTAAAATTTAAAAATTTAAAATTTAAATTTTAACAATCTCCATTCTTTATTTCTTAATTGTATTAAATCAAAAAAATCCATATTTGCAACACTTCTTAAACATTAGGATAAATTTTTAGACCCAACAACTTTTCTTTTTTGACTTAAGTATTAGGTTAAATGTCAATTTTGATCCCTCAACTTAAGATTTTACACAATTTTCATCCCTCAACTTTTTAATGCACTTTTTAGTCTCTTATCTATAAAAAATGCACTTTTTTAGTCCTTTAATTAGTTAATCCATTAAATTTAAAGTTGAGGTACTAAAAATGTGCAAATAAAGTTGAGGTACTAAAAATGTGCAAATTTAGATAAATTAACGAATTAGCTGACGAAAAACAAAAAAAAAATGTATTTTTCATAGTTAAGGGATCAAAAAAGTGTAAAACAAAATGTTAAAGGATGAAAATTATGCAAACTGTTAAAGTTGAGGGACCAAAATTAGCATTTAACCTAAGTATTATATAAGGTTTCAAAATTTCATTAAATTTGCAATTGAGATCTTAAAGTTTTAATACATTCAAATAAGGTCCTTAAGTCATCAAAATTTTTGAATAAAATCCTAATTGGATGGAAATTGTTAGGTTTGTTAAATTAGTTATTGACACAATTAACTC